CACCCCGAGCGGGACAGCCCCCGCCCTCCTGGCTCTCGATCCTGGCTGATCTCAGACAGACGAGTGTCGCCGCTGCCACCGTGAGTAAGTGCGGCTGGGAGGACTTTGGCTGTCCTCTGACCAGCACCCTATCCTTCACTTAACCCCATCCGGCACCTTTCCCGCCTGCGCCCCCAAATCAGCTAAACTTCCCCTATGTCTCTAACTTCCATCCTTCTAGCCTTTCCCCTTACTCTCTCAGGTTCCTTCCTGTTCCCCACCTTATCCCGGAAAATCCCTAAAATAAGCAAATTGCACTGGCTTAGAAAACAACTGGAACTTTATGGCAATGTGCTATTATCTTTCCTCGGGTTAGTGCCTGAGTAATACCCCTTGAAAACTTCCCATCCCCTTAACAGTGGGGTGACCTCCCCTCTGGGGCCGAACTCCTGATGGGTGCCAGAGAAGGGTCTGTTTGATTGAGGGGCTGTAGCATAGACCCCAGGGTCTCCAGGATGGACCCCAAGGCCAAAGGGTGTAAAATCAGGATTCTGAATCCGATGGCCACCTCCTCACACCCTTCCCTGAAGCAGCTGCCTCCGGAATGGCTCAAAGTCCTCGGGCACTGTGTCTGAAGAAGGGGAAATAAGTAAGGTCAGAGGATGTGGCTTTTCCATGAGGGCAAGAGAGGTCTGGTTGATGTCGGTTTGCAGCCTCACCATTGCATCGATACTGGAGATTGGACCAAATGATGTTTTCTTGGGAGAAGCAGAATACACCAAGACGCCCCCCTCGCATGGATGTGTCAATGATCACCCCAGAATCCGCTACTAGCTGGGGTCCCTCATAGAGCTTCACCCTGTCCAGGATAGGCGTTTCCATTTGTGCTAGGGTGCCAGTGGGCATAATGCCACCATGCCCAGAGTCCTGCTCTTCTCCAGACCTCCTTGAGTTCACCAGGCCTGAGAGAGACGGGAGGGAGGGAAGGGGAGGATGGAAAGGAGAGGGAAGGGGGTGCTTTTCTCAGGCCTGGGGCCCCTAGCTCTTTGTCCAGCCCCTTTTGCATCTCAAAGCACCAGCCGCATTCCAAGCGAGGATTGGGTTGCCATGACAATGAGTACAATGGGCTGGGGGGTGAAGTCACCCGCTTCCCAGGCTCTAGTCCACCCCCTTTTATCCCCTGTCCTGGCACCCCACAGCCCTGGGCACCTTAAAGGGAAACCAACCCAGGTTCCTGGACTCTGGGCTCTTGGCCATGGACAATCAGCTTCTGAGCAGACCCATTTTCCTCCCTTCCTAGCCATCCCCACCAACTAGGGTACTTGTTGGAGGGAAATGCAAAGTTGTGGACAAAGTGCTGAACAGAGAGGCCTGTGAAGTCTGGGCCTTGGTTTGCTCTTCAAAAATGATGATCCCTTCCAGCATAGACACTTTGACGAGGCAGGTTCTGGGCCACACTAGTTACAGAGCCAGATTTTGTGTGTCCCTCCAGATTGGCCTGGGGCTTGGAGGCTGTACAAGGCATCTAGCCAATACCCTAGTTTTACAGAAGGGAAAATGGGGCACAGAGGAGGAGTGACTTCACCAACATCACCTAGAGGTGCTTGTGTCTGTGGTGAGAGGGGAGATGGAGAGAAGTGGCCGCAGTCCCCACCCGTGGCACCAAGGAATTGAGTAGAGAGGGTGGTCACTGGTGAGTCCCAGCTAAAGGGGAAGGAATGGCCGGGCCTGAGGCCTGAGTTCCCCAGGTGGACTCAGCCCCTCTCCTCACCGAATGTAGCCAACTTGGGGCCGGTGCAGAAGCTGCCAGCGATAGGAGGTCTTGTCACGCCAGCCCACATTTCGTGGGTCAGTCCACAGCAGTCGTACCTGATCAGGGGTGTGGCCAGTATGCCACAGAGCATTCCGGAGGTGTTCACCTGGGCCAGACACTGATGTCACTGCCTGGGGGCATTGGCAAAGACAGGGGGTCAACCACAGGACTGGAGTGAGGGGAGACAACAGGCTGGTAAGTGCAGGTGGGAAAGGGAGTCGAAGTGGTCAGGAAAATGCTCTGGCCCCCCAGAGAGCCGACCTCCAAGCCAAGTGTCTGGTAAGAGGGTTCCCAGTCAGGCAGCGGGGGGAGGCCTGGGGCTTGTGGGGTGGAGGAGAGCATTGGGAAAGGGCCCTTGGTTGGGGATCTGGGCAGCTGGGGGACCTTGAGCTGCAGCCCGGGCTGGGCAACAGCCCGGAAAGGTGTAGCCTGCCAGTAGGTCTGCTCCGTCTGCTTCCACATGACCACATAGAAGCGGCCGCTGTCCTGATAACTGAAGAGAAAGCCTGCGTAGTCATCATCAGTCACTGTGTTCACATGGAAGGTGCCTTCAAAGTCCACACCATTGAAGGCTGTGTATCCTGGGTGGGGGTGGGGATGAAGGTCAGGGGCAACAAAGTTGCTGGTGACCCACTGTGGGTGGGGACGGGAAGGGATGCCTGCTCTGCGTGGCCAGCTTGCCCCACTGCCTTCTCTGTCGCCCTCTTGCCCATCCTCCTTGTCTGTTTCCTTCCCCACCCTCTGTCCCCAGAGGATTCCTCCATTTGGAAATTACTGAACTGGGTGTCCCTTACATACCAACTGCCAGGCCAGGGTCACTGTTCATGGTCTGAACGATTTCCATGCCCTGGGGTTGCACAGTGAAGAAAAAAGCTGTGATCCAGGTGTGCTACCCCTCCTGAGCCCCACCTGGTAGTCTGGTCTGATAGCACATGCCCAGCCCACTACCCTGCGTACCTGGTTGAGCACAACCCAGTTTGGGTCAATCTGAGCATCACCCTCAGGATCCAGGACGACAGTCTGATAGGCCCGAAAATCCGTGAGGGTTACCTCTGCACTTTCTGGACACACATCCAAGGGATCGACTACAGCATCGTTGTCAAAGTCATCCTCACACACATCACCAACGCCATTGCCTGTGCAGAGTGAGGCCAGGTGTTCAGGAAAGCCCTGGCCACTGCTAGCCAACGCTACC